GGGTAGAAGAATGTAACCAGGTAGGACACGAACATTGCTTCTTCTCCGACCATCAGGTACAAGCTTGTCAGTCCGATCAATCCATAAGCAATCTACAACTGCTCCATCTGGGTTACTGAATGCGGCGCGGAAAAGGAACCAAGGACTCACGTGCTCTCTCTTCACTCCAGCAGCATCAACCTTCTTCAGTTGTTCGTCAGCAGCAGCTCCATGAGACTTGTAACACCAAGCGACCATGTCGGCCTGAACAGTAAGATCATCGAGATCCGTTCTTTTGGTCAGTGTCACTTACATGAGCCTTCTTCAATCCTTCGACAGGATTCCCTCCCGCACCACCCATACTCGATGGAGGAGCGTCAGAGGAGGACGCAGGGGCTGGCTTGCTCATGGGTGCTTCAGGTAAGTAGAAACTAACAAATAAATGAACCTCACCCTTACCGCTCCTATTTATACTCTGATAGTGTGTTGAACTGTGCTTTCGTAAACACTGAGTTCTTTATCATGGTGAGAATGAGAATATGCTTCGCACGCAAACTTTTCTTTATCACTGTTTTTGCCAGACTTTCCCCTGGGTGTGCGTCATATGGCGCGATCCCATTGGCATTGGAGCGCACAGGCCGTAATTACCACATCCTGCTGTGGCCGGACAACTCGTCCGCGCAACACATTCTGTTCCGTTCCTCTTGCCTTGGCATCAGGCCAGCGAAGCTATCCGCTCTTTTTTAGATCTTGGGACTCAGCGAGATTTTTGAGACCCAAATTATCAGATCGATCAATTACTGAAGTCTAGTAGTTGAGTGATACGGACGAGTTGTCCGGCCGCAGCAGGATGGGCAATTGCGGCCTGTGCGCTCTAATGCCAATGTGATCGCGCCATATGACCGCCTCCCCTTTCCCCTCCTGTGTGATCAGATACTGTTCAGACTTCACGATACAGGCGATTAAGGGCAGGTACCAGCATTTGGCACACTCACCTCTTCCATCTCAGAACTTTACAACTGTTAGAAGGCGGACAATCGTTGATGTCGCGCCTCTTTCGCGTCTTCGAAGTGCGTGGCAAAGGCACCAGAAGTTTGATACGGTCACAACTCGCACCGCGATCCGCAAGCACCGCCTTCCGCTGTCTGCTGCCACGGGACTCTGCGAGAAGAGCGCGCCGCTCTTGCGGCATCGATAGCATTGCGGTCCATAGTCATGGATGAACAACTGAAAGCTAGTCGTTCTGAAACTCGGTCCACATACGCCCCGTCTCCATCCCAAGGTGGAATGCGGTCGAGAGAGAGGAGCCTTGTTCGAGGCGTTGCGGAAATTTCTTTTGCTTCCTTCCGTTTTCCCGGACCACTCCCCACTTCCAGCTTCATTATTGAACGCTCTCACACACCCATTTCACCGCGAGGCTCGCCTCTAAGCGATTAGGAGATCAGACTAGAAAAAAATGTATCGTTGGGCGAATAGGAGGGCAGGCGAGGAGGTGTGTACGGAGTGGTATCGCATACTATTGACACCTGGCTCGCTTCACACTGAACGAGCACATACCTATCCCATACTTATCCATTTTGCTCCTTTACTAACCGCCGATTGCATGTCCGAAATCGCAACTCATGAATCTGCCGTTCAGTGTTCGCGGATTGAAAAATGTCCTTGGTCGTCACGATCGTGCGCCGGCCCACTTGCCCTCGGCCATCGACGCGCTCGCACGCCATTGGCCTCGTCCCCCGCGGTCGATTCAGTCAAGTTGCCTACGTTGACCGACCGCGTGTCGGTACTCGTAGCGGCTGGTTACTAGTGGCAGGCTGATGGTATTTCACCGTGTAACGTGGTGCGGCCAGCCCAAAGCGAAAAGGAATGCCTCCCCAAAGCCCATGCTGGCGGAACGCCTGGAAGCCGGATGTGTCATTTCTATGCTCCCCGTTTGGGAGCAGCCCCGACTAAGGACACGTCAAACGTATGGAGCCCCGGAGGAGCCCGAGCATACTTGAGGATCTATTACATTACGCCAGCTGGCGGGCTTCACTTTTAAGAAGTGGGAGGTATCTACACTGGTGTGCAAAACTTAGGGACGAACGTAGCTTTTCCAACGACGTGTTACTGGCGCGTAACATGACTCTATGGAACCTAACCACACATACAAAGAGCTGCCACAGGGCACTAAAGAAAGCAGTTAACAGGAACCGTTAAACGGTCCACAAAGCTATCAGAAGGTTATGATACTTCATCTGTCTTGTCCTTAAAGGAATCTTGCGCGGAAAAATCATGATTCTATTTCAGCCATAAATCACTGGCTTGAGACTCATTATCCACGATAATAGTGAAAAGAACTGAAGTATTGCTTTCGTTTTGATTAGAAATTCGAAAACTCGAAAAGGCTGCTACGCGTTCGAATTGCCCACGGACGTCTTTCACGAATGCTGGCGACGGGGATGCTCAAACTTGGTTCTTGGAGTGCATTCACTAGAAGCTCTTTCTGGCCTTCTGCTTCGTTGCATTCACATCTTACACTTCTACTCCATCCTATTCCATCGATCGATTTGTCTCCACTCTCCGAAATCGCGCGCTTTAACCCGATTCTCTCATTGCGTCGCCTGGTACGTAGCCGGCCAAACGCCGTCTTCTTTCCATGCCTCGCCTGGCTCTGCCTCCTGGTCCTTCGATGGTCCATAACGTGTAGTTTTTGTACGTTTGTTTCTCTTCAGAAACCGAATCTTCATGCGTGAAACTTTGTGTGCTATTTCCAGTGATCACAACTGACATATTCATGTTAGGAAAGAGTGCAAGAATTTTCCGCGCAAGATTCCTTTAATATTGACAGCAAAGCGTAGGTTGTAATATTATATTCCGCAAATCAGTAGAAATCAAATCGCCAGACCCGTCAATGTTTGGAAAGAGGAAATGTGCGCTTGCGCCTTTTCACATCACTACCTAGGTGAGGTTAAGAAGTTAAAATAAAGTTAGAGTAAGTATAACTGCGGACATCCGACAAACACTCACTACTAATATAATTAAATCTACGTAATTAATGCACTTACTAAGAAGCTGATTTGTGAAACCGTAGCACCAATGTCGGCACTTTTGATGCCGACAATGTCACATCTGTGAAATACACGTGAGCTACTCTATAACATCCACTGGACAGGTTCTTCGAAACTTCTGCTGGGAATGTTGCTTTTAGCCGTCTATAACAGATCAAAAGGGCAGAACCAGGCGTGAAGGAACTCTGATAAGCGTCGCTCACTTTTCTTCCCTAACTGACGGTCGACGTTATGCGAATTAGTTTCTAAGAATGTTTACAGTAGACGTGTGGTGCTCTTTGGTATCGTCAGTCGGCGAAAAAGGCAGTGAAATCCGTCCAAGACAACACCAGCAAACAGTGGACGCCCCTTTTTTGGCGCGTTGTTTTCACATCGATTACAGATATACCCGAAATACGGGGATTGGGGTTGGCTGTCACCGGAAAGACGTGCACTTGATAGAAACTATGTGGATAAGCTGCTTCCAACATACATCGCTGGCTATCAGCAAAGCATGCTGGCAACAGCTTATCCACGCACTTCTATCAAGTGCACGTCACTTCCGGTGACACACCCACCCCAACTTTCGGATATCGACTGTAACAGCTCAGAAAGACAAGTGGACGAGTATCATTCCGCGCACGCGTTAGTGGGCACTACCCAAACCCGGGGGATTCGCATAATCGAATGCCGCACTCGTCCACTTGCCTCAACTAACTAGCTGGCGATCGCTTCTGGGCAGAGGGCTTTCAAGGTCCTGCTCCAGCACCAGCGCACTTTTCGCCGCAAAAGCGCCACACCTCGCTCACTTAGCAACCAAGTAACTGCTTCGCGTGGCGCATATACTCAACCCGATGCGGCCCTTCTTATCATAATCTTTTGACAACTATCAAGAGGAATGTGGAAGAGGCTTCTGGAGAGCCGTCATTCCTCTCATATGATTGACCTCTATGCACTGAGCTGCCCATCTCTTGCTCTCACATGTCCTCACCTCTATACGGAGAGCTCCTGACTGCTGAGTACTTATTATACTTATTATTACCTTGTTTCTCCATTTCAAAAATGGCGTTTCGATTTGCTCCATCGAGGATAAATAAGATGTCGATTTCTCACCGTTTTTGTAACTTTGCTGGTTGGTTTGAAAGGAGAGATTTCATTGTGTCGTCATCAGGTCGACGATACTGACAAGCTTAATTTCCGCTTCATTATGATTATTTTTTGCAACTCTTTGTAAGGCCATCCCTCCTGAACACTGTCCACAATGCCGTAGGATTGGAAAGGGTTTTGTCACTCATAGCCTTCAGAAGCCTCAGACAAGAACACTTCAGACCCTCTTATATACCATGAATTTCTCTCAAAGGCCAGAATTCGCGCAATCGGCATCAGATCGGAGGTCATTCGAGCTCTGCTATTTCTGTTTTTTCGGGTCAGTCGCGGCTTGTAATCTCACTGTTGTATCTTCCAAAGCGGCCTTGTTCTCACAACCACCCTCAGACGCTCATTCATTCATTTGTGTCGACAACTTCTAAATGCCTTCAGACGGGGTCAGTACTTTTATGTGATTTCTTCCTCGATTTTTCACTCGCCTTTGCCTCCATCCAAAGGAGGAGAATGAATCATTCTTCTGTATTCTATCGAAATGATCTCAGGCTTTTGTTTCAGAGAGAATGCATTTCTATTCACATCGGCCAAGCAGGTGCACAGATCGGAAATGCCTGCTGGGAACTGTACTGCTTAGAGCATAGCATAGATCAGAGTGGATTTCTGGATGAATCAGTCGACCAAAAGAAAATGGATTCGCAGGTGATTCTTCTTCTGGAGAACTTCTTGGCTTCTCTTGTCAAAGCTATTTTTTGTTACTGGGGCCTTTGACATTCTGACCTGACGATATCCACGTGCGATACCCGGAAAACAGAAAGTGCAGCAGAAAGCTTCTTGAATGTCTCGTCGGTTTGGCTGTCCGAATCAAACCAACCGAAATTTGCTAAACACTATGTGAAAGGACGCAAACGTGGCCAGAGGATGGACCATTGCAAAAAATTGGTCCTCTATTTGGACTCCAAACAGATGGACTTTATCCAATAATCCAATATCCAATACAAACAAGTCATCGGATTTTGACCACATTTTTACCGCTTGTCTTACTGTTGTGACAACTGACAATGCCGTTTCTCAGCGTGCGCGAGGCCCGTTTCGCGGTGTTGCGAAGATGTGTCACAGGATCTGCAGTCGAGTTGTCTTCCAACTTTCGCTGTCCAGCCGGGGGCACGGATCGTGCCGGGATATCTTCTCGGCGCTGGTGATTGTGTTATCAATTGATAATACGGTATCCTTTCTAACGCTGAGTTGAGGTGCCCTGGCGCTCGGGTTGGAAAAATGGTACACCATTACGAACCGCCGAAAAGTGAGAGATCCAGGCTACCAAAACCCGGCCTGGGCGAATAACGTTTGCTCGCACAACGTCAGTGTTTTGAGTTGATAAACAGATACGCTGTACATTGGAGCTTGCCATCATCCCAGGCTCAAGAGGGCATCAAATCTGAGGGTTCCAGAAAGGCTGAGAAGTTCAGTCAAATTAGAAGTTCAACTTAGCAGAAAAAACTTACAGCAAACCTAAAAAACGCCACAATTTTTTTCATGAAGATCAAAAAATTCCAAAAAAATTGAAATGCAAACTTAATTGTCATGTTGATCAAACATTTGATCACTATAGTTGAAACCAGTTTGGCTGACGGACACCAGCGGATTCGCCGTGCATGAGAGAGCGGGGGCGCTGTGCAGAAGGGTAAATCGGGCCCATCAGTATTTTTGTCTTGATTTTAGCTTTCTGCTCGGTACATCTTACTTACGCCGCAAACTCCGCCCACATCCGGGTGTGCCACGCCCAGCGTTCACATTCAACCTCTACTCCTACTTTCACCTCTGGCGTATTTTTTTCAGGTCTCTAAGTCATCTCGGAGCCGAATTATGAGGTCTTGTAAATGGCGTTATGAGTCACGAATTTCTGAGGCAGACCCCGCCCACTCTTGGTTACTTCTTAGCCCAACAATGGCAACATGCATGGTGTTATGCCCCAGCCAATGGCATTCCAACCCTAACTCATACGCTCAATACTTATGCACATGTTCCCCCCTCAGAAGTCCCACTCTTTCCCCCCCAAAATCGGGTATCGACTTAACACACGCCGGCGGAAACAAAGCACATTTGTACAAATCCCCCTCGGACTAAAGCCCCCAAAGGAAGCAGCTCTTAGGTTTCCGTCCGCATCCACCCCAACATTTATCCTGGGACGCCAGCCGGAACTTCTAGGAACCGAGTTATGAGAGCGGTGGCAAACTCCGCCCACATCCGGGTGTGCCACGCCCAGCGTTCACATTCAACCTCTACTCCTACTTTCACCTCTGGCATATTTTTTTCAGGTCTCTAAGTCATCTCGGAGCCGAATTATGAGGTCTTGTAGGGGACGAAATCGAGCAACGTATCGTTGTGGTAAACCCCGCCCACTTCGTTACATGCCTCGCTCACCGATACCAAATGACTATCATCTCTTCCCCAACCTCATTCTACTATTTTCCCATCTCCGGAACTTATTGGATCCGAGTTATGAAGTACCGTGGCAAACTCCGCCCACTTTAATGCATGCTCCACCTGCCCACAGCACTTGACCCCCTTCCCTCTGCCAACACTTATACGCTTTTCCCCACACCCCGGGACTCATAGGAACCGAGTTATGAGGCTGGTTGCAAACTCCGCCCACTTTGGTGTAAGCTACGCCCAGCCTTGACATTTAGCTTCTCCTCTTCTCCTAACCTGTATCCACTGTTTTCAGGTTTCCAAGTCATCTCAGAGCCGATTTATGAGCTCTTGTAGAAAACGTCGTCTACTTCAGGACACGCTCCGCCCATTGTGGGCGGACCTCCGTTCACATCATGTGTGCTGGAAATACCTTAGACATCGCTGCCCTGCACTAATTTCTTTTCTGCTCTGTAGGCTTCCTCCTAACCTAGTTATTGATATTTTTATTGAGCACCGCTTTTCCAGAGAACGCCCCGCCCACCGAGGGTGGGTCTCCCCAATGCAATCTGGCTTACCGACGCACATTTATAACCACTTTTTGTTCCAGTCTCGAGGCTGTTTTTGACTGTATTTGGAATCACCGATGCACGCCACGCCCACTGTGGGCGGGGCTCCGCCTGGCTGATGTGTGTTTTTTACTTCTAGGGATAATGGTATACCCATCCCAAGCTT